AAAGAAGAATGAGTTTTTAAAAGAAGCTTAAACATCTAGCCATGGCATATGTAAGAATAAACCTGTTTTTATTTTAAAAATTTTATTTCTATAGCTTACAGATCTTGCATTGGCATTCCTGGTCTATTTACTCTTAGGAATCATTCTGACAGTGCATTTAAGCTTTTCAGATGTTTTACCTATCACTCTACCAAAGACTATGTTTAAAATGTAAAATATGATAGCAATGATAGGTGGCAATGATTCTCCAGAATAACTCAAAAGTAACTCTAACAAAAATATGCATATTAAATAATATTGTGTGAATGGTGCTAGCTAGGTCAACTGCATTTAATACTGTCTGTTTTGTTTATATTACAGATTAGTTACAAAAGACCTCTGAGCAGCTCCATGCATAAGGAAGTTAACCATACTCATACTGGAAGGATAAACAAAATTCACTTTCTGAAGGAGACAATCTGTGTGTGTGTGTGTGTGTGTGTGTGTGCACATGCACATGCACGTGTGTGCAAATAGTTGGGGGCAAATATAGGTAGGGAGGGGGAGAGAGGAAATTATTTGATTTGAGACTGTCAAACAGAATAGGTGTTAAACAATCACCTATGCCATTTCTTCTTTTCCTTTTCTTTTCTTTTTTTTTTTTTTTTTTTTTTGACATGGAGTCTCACTCTGTCACCTAGGCTGGAGTGCAGTGGTGCGACCTCGGCTCACTGCAACCTTTCGTCTCCCAGGCTGAAGTGACTCTCATGCCTCAGCCTCCCAAGTAGCTGGGATTATTAGCTACTGTACCCGGCTAATTTTTTTTTCTATTTTTTAGTAGAGGTGAGGTTTCACCATGTTGGCCAGGCTGGTTTTGAACTCCTGGCATCAAGTGATCTGCCTGCCTAGGTCTCCCAAAGTTCTGGGATTACGGGAGTGAGCCACCACACCTGGCTTATGCCTTTTTTTTTTTTTTTTTTTTTAATAAGCACTTTGCCAGCATATACAATGCCGCAGAGGAGCCAAGGTAAAGTAGTAACATATCCTGTAAATTTTTGTCAGTGGAGCTCTTAAACTGTAACTTTGTTACATTCCTGAGGCATTGTTCATGTACTTTTAGAAACAAATATACAATTAGTGATCAATCATTAACTCTTCAGAGGTAAAAGGAAACAGAATCACGATTTCTTTTTATTCTGACTCTGAATTTTGAAAATTTTAGTTTTCATTTGTACTGATTGCCAACAGTTTGAACGAATAAGACTTTCTGCTCAAAGGTATAGAAAAAATACACAAACACACACATCAATACATACATATGAAGAGAAACATTTCAGCCTCCTAGTGATACTGTGACACTTTAAGACAGCCAATTATAAAAATCAAATTTTGTGAAAGTCAATGAAAAAATCCATTTATTGGACCCAGTTACAACATAAATGGTCATTTGTTTCATGACCATTTTCATTATTATCTGAATTCTACTTTATGTAAACTCTGTCTACAGAGTTAGGAAATGAACAGTTTGTCCCTTGATAACTCTCCATCTTATGTCAGAATAGAAGAAAAATTACTTTCCAGGAAATCAGTCATAGCTGTGTTCTGATGTGGACTTTTACTATTATAACTTTGAATTGACTAATTTTCTCTTTTGTTTTCTTTCTTTTGGTAATATGGCGTGTTTACACAAAGAGCAATTTCTTTTTGGTTGAATCAGTTGCTATCTCACTAAATTACATATTATATGTCAAATTTTTTGCATACCTTAGTTCTTTTCAAAATTTGTTTGTAATGATTCCATATGCCATTTTCTATTTCTCTATTTTTTTCCAAACATGTTGGCTTTATAGCCATTTAACTCGTATTTTTTTTAATTAGTTATTTGTTTTCCTCATGTCCCTTTTAATGACCAGCAAGGACTAACTGGAGTTGTGGAATCTTTAATAGATGCCTTGAGAATCTGTTAATTTTGTGAATTTCCATGGTACATTTTTATGCATATGTCTTCTACTACACTAAAGTACTGTGAAAGTGAGGATAAAATTGGGTTCATTTCAGGATCCCCAGCCCTGGCGTACAGACAGTAAATATTTACTAAGGAAATGAATAAGCAGAATAAAGAAAAGAAGAAAGGAAAGAAGGAAGGAAATAGATGTTTATCTTATTTGAAGTTTAAAAAAAGATAAAAAAGCATGAGTGGTAGATGATTATTTAGTGGCTGCTGGATTTTATAAACTTAATTTTGTTGCTTACTCATTTTGATTTCCCCAACTCCTTTTGGTCAGTTTTACAGATAATCAAGTGGACATATGCACAGATCTTGGTACCAATGGAACAGTGTTTTCACCTGTCTTCACAACAGACCATACGTAAAATGGCTCAAATGAGGAGCCATGCCAAGCCATTTTTGTTCACGTTACAAATCTGAGAACAATCAAGGTTTAAAAGAATTAAAAAATAACCTGCAATATTTCTTTTAAACAAAGCAATTCCTTGGTTTGGTATACTACAGAATATTTAACTATTTTCAGTCACACAGAATTCATCATATGAAAATAATTAAGCTTATGTTATATGCAGGTAAATGCTCGCACTGCACAATGAGGACATTCATTTCTTTTACACATTTGTGAAGGTGGCAGATGAGCACGATTCAATATCATAGCATTTCCTAAATCAGAAGCGCTTGCTGACACACGACATAGCTATGCAGTTTTGGTAAGAAGAATAGTAAGAGAATGTGGCTTTTCTTTCTGAAATACAAGCTCACCAGGGCTGGAAGCGAAAGCCATATGAATGAATGGGAGGGATGTAACAGAGAAAGCAAAATCAGAGCATTCAATAAGAGGCTTTGGTACATAAACCCTGCCTCTATTTCTCTGCAGAGAGCTTTTCCATGAGATAACCAAAATAATGAAGCAGAGAGGTTGGTAAAATGTTTGTACCTTTTCCCAAGTCCAAAATACATTGTATATCATATGGGGCAGTAATTAGAAACTAAAACAAAACCACCACTGCATTTGGTCCCCAGAGACCATTGCCAGGTCAAGGCATTGGTTGAAAATATCTGAATATCCTGGCTGATACCAAGATCCCAGCTGTGCCTAGTGAAAAACATTGTCATGCATATGAACAGGTGGACTTAAGCGTACCCTTGGTTCAGATGTAGCAAGGTGATGTCCATCTGGGAATTTTTATTTCTGTTCATACTCTAGACACATCCCAAAAGAAGATGAGTCAGTGATTGACTGAGTTTGCTTACAAAGAGAACCCCACGTAGATTTCACCAGAGTAATTTTCTTCCGTAGGCTTCTGAAACAACCACGTTATTATGATTTCCCTACAGAAAGCCCAGTCAAAGGTTGCCGAAGTTGTTTGTGCTTCGCCCTCTCTAAATGACTTGCAAATTTATTCAAACACAATATGAGGAGATGCTTTATTTGTTGAAATAACTGTCTGCAGTGTCCTGCACTAAAGGGTGAGGTACATCAAGCAGAAACATGGACAGAAATACATTGGTTTCGAAACCCATAAATCCTTATTTGAATCTGCCAACCTGAAAGCCACGTGGAGCCCGCATAAACTATTTTTCCTAAATGCTACATCTGATTAAGCCATACCATTAAATGACAGCTGAACTTTAACATTAATATGATATTATTTAAATAACCACATCATTTTTTTTACACTAAAAATGATGAATGATTTCTGGACAGCTCAATTGACATAAAGCAGGAGGACTCTTTAATGAGATTTGACAAAATGGAGACATATGCAGAATATTCGTTACAGCTCACGACGCAGGAGCCCTCCCAGGAAAGCAACAGAGGTTTTTCCCTCCCCTTCCTTTCTTTTTTATTGTCTATAGGCACTGAAGCATTCCTTTCAATCACCACTACCCTTCTCTCTGAATTCTGAGTTTTTCTTAGGCCATTTACCTAGTACTCTTAATCAGAGAATTTGATGGCTTATGATTCTGAGTTGGGAGTCAGGGTCCAAGAAAATGAGGAGGAATGTCATATTATGCCAGCCTTGGCTGGAAATGTCCCAGGAACTTTAAGCTTGCTACTGGTCAGGCTGCTTAGAAAAATCTTAACAGTCTTGAAGACCAAACCACTAGACATTTGATTGATTCTTATGTAATAAATCTGTAACACGGCAAACATACTTTTAGCAAACTATTGTATATGGATACGTGATCAAAGAAGACTTTAGTTATTTTTAGATGGTTGTCTTTATAGTATCAACTATAAAGATTTCCTTCTTAAAAATTCTAATTAAGCTATTCCAGAGGCCATTCTCAATGTTTCTCATTCACTTTTCTATCCACAGTTCCAAACTGACAGTCATGCTAGATGATATTCTTATGTGGTAGATTCTGAATGTGAAATAATTTTGCGCTGAATGTACTTATAAGAACATACCTGCATTCATTCATTTATTTTCTCATACTATTTAGCATATTTTTCATCAATCAAGGTTGAGTTACACATATAAAACATGAACATTTGTTTGTTAGCACATATTATTCAGATAATCTTGACGTTTTATAAATCATCTTTCAGTGTATACATAAAACAGAAATGTTTCCCCAAACCGTGTCACTTAAAGAAATGAAAACAAGGCAACACAGAGCAAAACTAACAGCAACTGTGCTCCTGAAAATGGTAGGTCTGCATTCCCTCCATAAGAAGGAGGCCATCAAAATAGAAAATAAAATCAGCCTGCTCCTGCCATGGGGCCTTCCTCAGGCTATGAAAAAACACTTCATGTCTAACCCTAATTTTTTCCATAGCTTCAGGTTACCCCCCTAGCTCAAGCTTTCTCTCTAATCTGTGTTACTATGTGTCCCTGTCCAAACAAGAGTTAATATCAGTGCTTTATTATTTCAAACGGGTCCTGACACAGGGCACTAAGAGCAGAAGCTTAAAAGCATGTAATATGCCCCGTTGCAATTGAATGAAAACATAATAGTTTTAAAAAGAGACAGGGAGAAAGATGGGTCCCTACCTTGCTCTTACCTTCGCAACATCCCCGTCAGAATCCTGGAGCTTTTTCCCAAATTAGCGTCTGTTTCCCGAAGCTACAAGAAGAACAGCAATGTTAAAACAAAACAAAAGTTCATGCAATTAGACTATTTCTAAAGTGCATGGCAAGTGACAATTTATTTCACGGTAGAAAATCCAAACAATAAAAATGTTCAAATATACAAAAATAAATACATTTCTGACAGCTACACAAACATGGAAAATTCTTATATTTGGAGAATGACACATGAGAGGTAATCTTGGGAGCTTTAAGCTGGATACTAGAACCGGATATAAAAGCAAAGCACAGGCTGAAAAAGTTTCATAAATATTTGGTAATTCATCTCCAACTTATGAATGTGCAGTCCTAAAAACATAAAAATAATATGAATTGAGAAAAGATGACCACCAATAATTCTATAGTTTTCACTCTAAAAGATGAACATACTCCAAAATCTCCCTCAGTGACCTTCTCCTCTATAAGAAGTAAATAAAATACCCACCTGGGAGCATTCTGGGATGGGGACATAGAGTCGGCTGCTATTTGCTCCATGTCACTCTCTTTCTTTTCCTTTCCACAGACTTTACACCCTCTTTCACCTTAGATACATATAACTACCTAATTGCTACTGTTTATGTCCCAATGCCTTTCATTTATGTCTTCATTTACTGAATATGTGAAAAAACTATATCACTTGTACTTACTCTTTCACGTGCTCGCTGTATCTTTTCTCTGTCATGACTAAGGTTTTCCAACATCTCCTGACCAATTTGCTCTATGGAAAAGAAAATCTGTGTAAGGAAAAATGACTCGGAGTGCACATGAGAATAACTCTCAGGAGTACCCAAATGACATAAAATGTTAAAGTAGCATGCATGCATTATACATTAGACACGTATTTCAATTCATGTATTTGAAAAATATAAACAGTATTTGATAAATGTGTCTATTTATCTTAGGTATAATTAGATATTTGACCTATAGAACATAACCAACATGAGAATAATGACTTAGAGATGATGTCTTGCCCAGGCCACTCCAGCAAATGTCAGCAAAGGTGGAGGAGATCTGATGTCCATTAGTCTATTTTGTCATCATGGAATTTAGCTGTTGGTTTTTACAGGTTATAAGTAATGTTAATGATTCTGCTCTCCCTTTCCCCTTTCATTTTGCACATGTATGTCAGACTCCATTTAGAACAATTTTAATTTTAGTGTATTCGCCCTGCACAAGTAATCCTCATACGCTCACCTACATATGCTTATTGGTAGTGAACTGTCTCTAGGCTTCTGCTCTCTTCAAGGCAAGGGCTCATTTAATGTGTTATCAGCAGCTGTAGGTACTTGAGTCAACTCAAGGTGAGGTGCATTCCTTCTCAAGTAGAAGAGAGCTTATGCTGGAGACAGTGTTTTCACCCCAGAACTCTGAAACCCTAATACTGTTATAGGCAATTTAGAACATTCATTAAAAAGCCATACTGCTGAGTTTTAATGAGGTTTTCCCGTGCCATGATCATCTTATTTGGTTGACACTAGGCAGTCTCTTCTCCAATCTGCAGACCCTTTTAGAAGACAGTAGGTATGGCTTGACCTCATAAATAACCAGCTGCCTTGAATAAATCGTTTTCAGACTCATTCCCCATTACCTGGGAGGTGCCTTATTCCATACTAGAAGGATGCCTCTCTTATAATCTTGGCAACCTATCTGACTACCTTGTTCTACATCTCTCTCTCCTTTTCCCTCTGGCATTGTCTCTTTACTCATACCTATAACAACAATCATCTCTGGCTTATAGACATATAGAAGCATTCAAACAAGCACCTATTATAATAATAAGAAATAATTTAATGAAGTCAGTAAGAAGTCACCATGCTAGTTATTTGGCTCATACATGTACACTGCTAGGCTTTTTTTTAAAGGACACCCTAAAAATGTAGAGCAGTAGTTAGGCCACATTGAGAGCTTTGGCTGTGAACTCACACTGCCTGAGCCAAAATCCCAGTGCTGGCCCTTACTAGCTGTGTGGCTAACTTCATTGTGCCTCAGTTTATCCATAAATGGGAATATTAATAATAATAGTACTATATCATGAGTTTGTTGTAAGAGTTTAATAAGGTAATTCAGTTACAATATTTAGCACAGTGACTGGCCTACAACAATAATAAGCATTTATTGAATGATGATTGATTGATCATCATTCAATCAAGAACATCAATGGGCTATTATGACTTTGCCACTCTCCTATCTTAGTCCTGCTGTAGCCCACTTGAGCTGCAATTTTATTCACAGGAAAAAATATCTGTCCTGCCTTTCTCACCAAGTTGATGTTATGATCCAACGAGATAGCCTAAGTAAAAATGTTGTGGAAGCTATAGGGTACCATATAAAGGCATGTCATGAAATAGCACGTAAGACTCAGAGTATTCAACAAAGAATCATTGAGTCCCCACTGTGTGCCAGGTACAGGTGCCAGGGATATGGCCAGCAAACAACATCAAGTGTTTGCATTCATGGAGCTTCCATGCCAGCAGTAAGGATTAAGCAGTTAAAGAAGTGTCGTAGAAGAGTTACAGACAAGTGTTATCAGAAGAGTTTGTGTTTCAAGGCACATTAGAAAAAGCACTGCATATTCCTTTCATGACAGAAAATCCAACTCATAGGAAACAGTTACATGCACTAGCATAAATATATTTTTGACAGCATACACATTTTTAACATTCTTTCTCAGTATAGTAGCTCCTCTTAGACTTATTTCAGCTCTTTATTATTAACCCCATACAATTTATCCTTAAGGTAAAATTGGGTAAGATATGTGGCTCCCAGTGGAAGCATCACAGCAGTGGAAGATGATATCAATAATGGAGAAGGAGGAAATAACTGAAGTTGAATTTTTTTCTTTTCTTGCACGACAATATTCAATTTTGTCATACTGTTATTACTGTTACATTGGATTTCTTTTATCAACATAATATAGCAATTATAATTCATTTTTCACTTAAAACCTTTAACATATATGAGCACCATGAACACTGCAATTATTTCAGCAAAATGCTATTTATATCATATTTTCTCCTGTTCAGATTGATGGTATTATAACATGTAATCTAAAACGAAGAGGAAATAGGTTATTACTATTGTGTCTGTGGCCAGTATCGTATCCCCAGTAAGTAACTGTGGAAAGAATGAATAAATAAAAGAATTAAAGTATGTGTCAGGTTTGTGACCTATTCTTGCTCTTAAAGTCCATCCAGTGTAGCACTGGAGAAGTTGACATCAGAAAGCAGGTAACAGATTCATCATTCTATCAGGTTCGCTGAGGAGAAAACTCTACTCTGAGTGGACCTACGGTCTGCTACTGAAGGAATCAACAAACAAGAAGTAAAGATCTGGGTCTTTTCAGGAGTTATAAACCACTCTCACAATCTCCTTGCCTCCCCAGACATAGCTCAGCATCCCAAGTACTAACTCGATCTAGCAAGAGAAGAGATATTGGCAAGAGCGTATGCATCCCGGTCTTAACACCCAAATGCCATGCACTGTTGGAAACACAATTCTTTTTTCATTTCTTGCTTGCTCTCTTCCATTTTAATGCTCTAATAAAGAAAATTTCAGGCCAAATATATTACAGTGATAACTATTATGGAATGAAAAAAAAAAATTCATGTAAAGAAAGTTATGTGGTTTTTCTTTTCCACTGTGGGGCCCACTCTTCTAGTCGAACCAAAACAAATCAAGACAACGAATTAGAGGGATTATTTTTAATACAGACTATCTTTGGTTTGGCGATTATTTCATTAAATAATTAGAAACACTGTTAGGTTTATTTTTCTTGAATAATTTAACTGAAGAGGTAAGCATTCACCAAAAACACCGTAATAGAAAGAACACAAGCTCAGAGGCCTAAGCCAACGGCAGATGTGAGATTTAAATTTTCAGTTCTTTACTTTCCATAGTGCCTTAAGAATGGAACAGCCATACTGCTGCTCTTGAACTAATTTGAGAAATCATAAATTTTATAAATAGTGTACTTGTTGACTGTGAGGGTCTTCTTGAGATTAAGAAACAATGGGAAGCATAACAAGGCAATGAAAACTGACGGTGTATGCTGGAATTCTCCATGTCAGTACGAGCATGATAAATGAATTCCTGGAAGGAAGAGCTCCTTCCTGCACTTCTCTCCTTTCCACAGTGGTCCTGGGAATCATCCTGGGAGTAGAGTTCTCAAACACATAAAATGAATTTTCGTTTTTACAGTTACCCAGAATCAATCATATCCTTGATCCATAGCCCCTTTTTATAGATAAACACATGTGCAAAAGGGTTTTTGGCTAACATTTCCTTTGCTTTTCAATCTTTTGGAAGATATACACAATAGCCGTTGAATACTTTCCTGTCCCATAAAGAAATTGAGAAAGGAGCAGGTAACTTCAAATCTAGCAAGATATCTCCTGAAGGACTGGCCTGACATCATGAAAATAAGACTTAGTTTGAAGAACTTGTATCACTGAAAGCATCATGTCTCTCCACTCATAAAATAATAATACCATGTGAACAACAGTATAAGTGTAACATAAGACTAATATGAATGAACCCCTTTTTTTTAAAAAAAAAAAACTTATAAGACCTGTATTTTGGAGGTGAGCAGATTAAAATATCCTCTGTAAGAAGTTAGGACTTACTGAAGCTCACATCATGTTATAAACTGGCTGAAAGGGAAGGAGCCTCAAATCTAATTCACTAGGAAATGTCCCATTTGATACATTCAAAATATTTTTAAAAAGTAGTCACTGTGGAAAATGCAAGACACTCTCCAGAAGACAGTGATTATTCCTCAGCACACCTATATTTATTTAATTTTCTTTTTATAAACCTTGTTAAGAATGTGGTTTCCAACAAATTATTTTAAAAAGCGAAAACAGCAAGTTGGGTCTTCTTTCAAGGACTAAGAGAAGGTAAGGGTATCTTCCGGCACTTGAAAACGTCACCAGCAATTTTAGTAGCAGATAAAAGGCATTCACAGTTACACAACTATTGTTTGCATACAGGGACTTTTGTGAAGTGCAGGAGTTCTGCAAAAGAGCTATACTGAAGCATGTGTTTTCATATGTGTATTGCAGAACACCAACCAGATGAAAAACCTTGAAGTAATATGTCCTCACAATTTGGAGCGCTGAATTTTGGACATGACTTGGGAACTTCTGGCCACGGAATCTAATAAAGGTAGAAAACGTGCTGCTTCAGGAAGCAGAGGGATTCACATACAGCTTTCTCAGGAGGGATCTGATCACGGAGTGGTTGGATCAGTCACTCTTCGGCATTTAGCATAGCTTCCTGGGCACTGACTCTGCTCTCATGCCCTGAATAGCTAGGTTATCCTCTGTATTGATGTTACTTGGGCATGAAGAGCCTTTTGAATTCCTGATATCTGGAAAAATACAACAATGGAAAGAGAGTTCTTTCAACATCTTTCATTATTTGACAACCTAAGACATGTGAGGAACTTCTGCTTCCAGTTAGGATGTAGAAAGATGCCATAGAAAGATGCAAATGACCATTCCCATAGAAACAAGAAAAACCCAGACAAAATAATTACTAAACTTTTCTGGAGGAAGTAAGTAGATGCAAAGAAGCTCTGATGAATTCTAGAGAGAAACAAGTACTTTGTGTATGAGCGAACAGGTATGGCAACTTTGATACCAAGTTTGATATAGGGCAAGTGCCTGCTCTGAGAATGAGCCTGCCATAGATAGGGATGAGAGAAATCAGTCAAATGTT